GGAGATGGAAGGTTTATGACAGACAACCATACACTAGAGAGAACCTCCTAAGGGCAATGGAGCTGGCCTGTGTTGACATCCCAGTGGAGGCCTTCGAAGGATGGATTCGCCATTCCAGGGCGTTTTTCCCACGGTGCCTGGCAAGAGACAATATAGCCTGTGATGTGGCCCGATGCCGCACAGTGATTGTGGTGTGTGTGTGGTGTGAATAAAGTAAATAAAAAACTTCACACCCTGATCATGTTTTCAAGAGTACTGTTGTGTGCAATAGATTCTGTTTTTGCATTGAGTTGTGTTACAGTAGTGTACATGCAGAATTTATACTCTTCATATGAAACTCACAAATCTAAATGCCTAATCCTCTGCAGAGATCTAAGAAGATCCATTACTGTAAAGTTTCTAAAAATATGCATTGGCAGTTATGAAACAAAGAACCTTCTCACAAATTGAGCATTGTGTTTTCAATTGTTTTGCTGTAGTGTGTAATGATGTGTATAGTGTTTACATTTTTGAAAGCTTCGAGCTGCTCTTTTGGTGTGAAAGTTTGAGTTTTGAAGTGAGAAGGTGTGGTTGTGTTTATGTAGCTTTAGAAAAGGGTGTTGTGTTTAGACATTGGGGAACATGGAGGAAACGTTTGTGAAATGTGTTTTAGCATTTGAGAAAAACTGTAATATGCGCGAGGGAGAGAGAGCAGGACAGCGCTCGTTGTTTGAAGACGGGAGAGTGCGCGCGCGCGGTCGGGGCGCTCTCTCTCTCTCTCTCTCTCTCTCTCTCTCTCTCTCTCTCTCTCTCTCTCTCTCTCTCTCTCTCTCTCTCTCTGCTCGTAACGCGCCCTGTCAAGCGCAGCAGTCATTCTATTCTACATCACTCATCCGATAAAAAAAAAGGCTTTGAAGGGACAAAAATGTGTTTTAGCGGGCGATCTGGCGGTTTTAGAGGATTAAATACAACCCGAAACTAAAAAACAGACCCGGCCTCTATTTGAGACCGGCCTTTATTTACCCAAACCTGCAGCCACACCAGGCGTGTAAAAGAGACAGGCGTCTATTTGGGACTCGGTTATTATTTGAAGTTTTACGGTATTGCGATTAATCGCGATTAATCACATTGTTACGCGCAAGAGTGAATAGTGTCTAGTGTATTGCGCACTTTTGATTTAAATGTACTGCTATATACACAAAAGTGCAATAACATGTGGTTTGCCAATACTTTAAACAAATAAGGTGCTTTATACCAGCAGTATTCCCTTTACACAGTAGCAATAAAATATTTATTGTAAATCTCAACTTAAACATTAATGTAATCAAATCAAATATTAAAACAAAGCTATGCCACTGCCAGGGCATTACCTTGTATCTAGCTTGTTAAAACGAGTCCAGCTTTCTTGTTTTTTTTTTCTGAACAGGTATCAACAGGTATCTTTTATCAGGGAGCAGCAGAAACAGTCTATGTAGTCAGAGGTCATGACCACTACTACAGATATAAGTCGACCAACGTTACTTCTCTGATAGTAGCTTAGGTTTTGTCATGACATGGTTTCCCACGTACACTAAAATTACATTAAACAGATGTAAAGCCCAATTTATACTTCTGCGTCGAACTCACGGCGTAGCTACGTACCTGCTGTGTGTAGCGCGCGTACCCTGACGTGCACCTCTCCAAAAATGTAACAATGCGTCAATTATACGCGTACCGCAAGCGCTGTGATTGCTAGAACCGACAAGGTAGTGCGACAAGCGAGTGTGTTCACTGTGAAACTGTTGCGGTCATGCTCGCCTCACGCACGCGCCCGCGCCCTCCCGTTGCCGAAGTTGAATTGACGACGCGCAGCACAAATCATTGGAAGAGAGACTGATCCTCGGCTCGCTGTTTGTGAGTTTCCACAATCTAAATAGTTATCAGGACGTCATCAACAGAAGGGAATTCATATGACAGCGCATCTCCACTAAACTAAACGCAGGCCTATCAGGTAAAGTTATGTATAATTTTAATTTAGGTTAAAAAGGCTACAGCTGCGTAGGTAGCGCACAGAAGCCATTGCCATGGTTACTATATCCATAGAGCGCCTGTCATTCACTCGCGGAGCGCTGTCTCCCTTTCTGTTCACCTGAGAGAACCTGCCAAAGCCCCTCCACTGCTTGTTTGGGTGGGTTATTTCCTGGCTGACCAACATCCCACCCCTCCTGTGATCCATGGTTTGACTGTAGGCCTATGTGTATTCAGAGCCAGTGAGCAACGGACTTTCAAAATAATTAAAAAAAAAAAAAAACTGCGTTAACGTGCGATATAAAATTGTCGGCATTAATTAATAAATGCGTTAACGCGATAATAACGCGTTAACTTGCCCAGCCCTAAAAGTTAGTTATAAAGGCTTTAACAGATCTGAATCTTGGGAAATAAATAATGTCCTATCTGTGTTGTGTGTGTGTGTGTGTGTGTGTGTGTAGCCTATATGTGGTTTATGAGGTCACAAATGTATATAATGACATGGGTATTACAACATAAACATGGTTTATGAGGACACCATTTTATACACATGAACAGTATAAAAACCATTATGGCTATGGAGAGGATGGTAATACAATAAATATAATAAAAAGTTTTTTGTTTTTTTAGGGTTGTGTTTAGGAGTAGAGAGCGTTATAGGGGATAGAACATACAGTTTGTACAATATAAAAGTCATTGTCTATGGAAAGTCCCCATAAAAAATGAAAACCCAACTTGTGTGTTCTCCACATGCTTCAGGCCCCTTCATCGTCGAAAGAGGCCAAAAGTGAAGAAACCATCCTCCAAATCAATGTGAGTTTGTTGTACACACCATCTGCTTAATATAATTCAGCCAGCCAGTTATCAGCACTAATCCTCAGTAGTCCTCCTCCCTCTGTCATACAGTGTATGTGCATGCTGTCCCTCGCTGCATGAGCAGCTTTTCAATTCTCCGGACATTCCTTTAGATGCACACGTGACGACAAGAGTCCTTCATTACTGATAAGAAAAAGTGTGTTAACAAAGTACAGAGTGGTGTAGACCGCCCCACTGCCATAATTACACTTTGTCCTCGTTTTGTACATGACTTTCTTTTGTCTTTATGTTGTTCTTACTTTGCTCAAACCTAGACTCCTGTTATCAGAAGTAAGATATTTTTATTGTCTGTTTACACAGGGGCCAAATTTGGGAAGGATGGGTAGGTTAGTTTATCCCTACTATCCACTGTGAATGATGCACAGAGGTGAGGAATGTGGACTGATGAACTTCTGACCCGAGGACAGCAAGTAAACTCTGCAAACGTCCAGCTATTATGAAGTGTGGATTCGGAGAGAGTCATATCAGTGTGGCCATCTCATTTTCTCTCTCAACGCATTTTTCTATTTACAGTTTTTGATTCACTACATTTTTGGGAACTTTTTAATGAAAGACTTCTACCATGGAAACTTTTTACCATAAGGGACTTCGATGGAGTTTTTTTTTTTTAAATGAGCCAATCTCTATCCAACCCGGCACCTAACATTTCGTGGCTAAGATCAGTCACCTTCACTGTTCTCATAAGACAAGAAAACTCACATGGCTCATCATTGAGATATAAACTTGTCACCTATAAACACACTACTCCTTTATTATTCCTGTAAGACTGTGATGTGGGACTCTGATACTGTGTTAAATACAGGGCCGACGTGCTCTGACTTCGTTGCTGCTGTGGATATTGTAATATTACTCTCAAACTGAAAATCCCAAGGAAACGTCATGATACTTTACACATGTTGTGCTATAATAATAATGTCACCAACTTATGTGACTCCGTTCATGGAAATGTTGCTTTTTGAAACATGGTGCTACTGTAAGTTAACACTTGGAACTGAATGCTGCATAATATGTATTTGAATGTATGTGCAATTAATGTAAATATTAGTTGCCTATATTTTTACCAGACTGAATATATGGGAGTTTCTCTTCGTGACTGTTCTGAAAAAAGAGCACCCTCAGTCTAACAAATGTTTTATGTTTATCTGAATGCACTTATGAATAACATACTAAACAGTGTTGGAGTAATGATGTGTTATTATAATAGTTAAATGCAAATATCTGTGTAGGTGTCATCACAAACCAATTCCTTCCCCTTTTGATGTTTTCCATTGGCTTAAAAAATGGAAAGCAATGAAGGTACAGTAGTTGGTGAATAAAGTGTTAAATACCCAGGTTTACGCCTTTTTCATATTCCCCATATATATATTTTTGTTATAGGGAACAACTAAAACCAGTCTAAAACTAATTTACTGGTTTTTACTGGTCTCTCATGTTTGTCTGTTGGCTACTTTTGATTGCAGGGGTTTTGGGCACTTTTAAGCTCATCAGACTGTGAGACCATCCGAAGACTTTATCCAAACTGGGAGACCATTTAAACCAGCCTATAAAACTATAGTTTTTTTTGTTTGTTTTTTTGCCTTTTATGAATATTCTAAATTTGTATGTTTTACTTATAAAAGATATGTATGCGGGTCCAGGTCTCTCATCTTGTTTTTGAAACCCAATCTAAGCTGGTTTGCTGGTCTTATTTTCCCTGCATGGTGTTAGTTTCAGTGGTTTTTGTTTACCTATAGTAGACCATGTGGCTGGTCAGCTACATCAGCTGAACCCCATTTGAGCCATGATGGGATACCATTGAAAAAAAGAAAGGATAGCTTTTTCAGAAGGATATCATAACTGAGAAACATTTTGTGCTCCGTTGTGTTGCCTTATTCGCCAGCAGGTGGCGCTTTCTGAATAATCCGATATTCTGTAAATCCCTTCAGGCAATCAAATATACGAATCCAACTCCACCTGAATTTGCACCTGTCTTGCAGTATAAACCAACACAAAAACTCTCCACCACATGTAGTTTGTTTTACTAAACTTTTTGGGCGTCACGTTTACTCCGTGTCAGCCAGGTAAACTGGAGTTGCAGTATCTGTGTGTAGGGGGGTGGAGAGAGAGAGCGAGCGGTGCTCACGAGACACCCCCCAGCCATCCAGACCAGCTCACGCGCACGCAGCCAGCACAGGCGCGCGAGCATTCAGGACTCTGAACATATCACGAAGCCCTCGCGCAGGACGTCCGACAGACCGAGGAGATAAAGTTTTACCGTCTTTACGCTATCCTTTTATACTTTTTTGTGGTTTAACCGTACAATGTGAGAAGAAATGGCTGGGAAAAAGTAAGTTTGAATCTTTCTTTTGGAAAATTAACCAAGTTTTGACACGAGAAGTTAGCGCGGTGTCTCTCTTGTAACGTTACGTTAGCCCCTCAACTAGTTTTAGATCTGTAACTTAAAAATGAACTATTACTCACTATGAAACTATAAATAGAACTCAATTTGCTTAAGATGTCGGCTATAAATCAGTATGAAGGAAAATATGGAGATTGTGTGAATGAAGAGATGATTTTCCCACGACTCGTCACGAGGAGTCAGTCAAATGTGATATTTTGTTCAGTTTGCTGCTGTCGTTTGTTCAGTCGTGTCATTAAATCAGCATCACTGCCGGAGGCCAACTGTTTCGGCCATATGTATTTGAACTGATTTGATTTGAACCGACTTCACTATAAACATAGCTCAGTCACAGATTATTGGCTGTTTTGACTAATTTAGTGTTCCTGTTACTGTTATCTCAGACTGATCTCATCTGATAAAAAAAAGGATAAACTACTACAGTCCTGTTCACTGATCTTGAGACATGGAACAAAACAGGTTTCACAACTTTACGTTACCCGCCGTTCGATTTGTTTTAATTCCACTCTTAAGTAATCAGAGATGATCACTACTATGTAGTTGGCTGCCTCTTTTTAATGTGTCCACTGTGTTTGGTCACTACATATTTATTGAAATAAATAAATAAAATCAGGGAGTATCAAAGTCATATCTTTTTCCTGAAGATCTTTCCATATTTCACTCCATTTGAGTTCAACAAATCACAAGCTCTTGTGAGATGTATGTTTTGTATATAATTTAACTGTGCTTATAAATAGTTTTCTGTCACAATCGTGATATTTACACACATCATACAAATGATAAAGATTATTTTTAATTATGATCTAATTTCTCTAATTAAGACTTCAATTTTCCCCCTAATTTTAAGACTGTCCTATTAGCAGCAGCATACTACTATAACTACAGGAAAAAAAATATTAGTGCATTTAATACACCAAATGATGGCTTGGTGACAATTAAATAGATGGAGCTTAAAATAACCATCCGTACACTCTATTTATTCATTATTGAACTGCTTGATTTGTCCGTTTTTTATAATATATATATATATAAGGCATAATGGCACAATCTTTTTTTTCTTTTTCTTTTATCTGACAAATGACAAATGCGCATTTTGAGAGAAAATGGAAGAACATGTTGAATCACAATAATTCCTTGATATGTAAACTATACTTAGTTTTTAACTGTTTTGTTCCAGACAGTATTCAAGAATCAGTCTTGTATCAGATATTGAATGTGGTCTAATTCCTAATATCGGCTGATGGTTACAGGAAACCACCAGAACCCTCTTTTGATATCCCACAATACCTTCTGTCGCCTTTACTGTGGTTAGAAGCATTGAAGTCACATAATGTGAGCTGTGGACGCATGTTGCTTTAGCTGGTGCTGCACTGCCAGAAAAACACAGAGCATCTGTTTAGTGCAGGGTTACAGATGTACGAATTAATTAAATTCATTAAATTAAAATGTAGTCTTTTTCCACCCTGAGCGTGATTATGACACAGATGCTGAAGTGTAAATAGATGAAAAGAGGTGGTTGAAAGACTTCTGTGAGTGTGCACTGTTTGATGTAACACTTTGATCAGCCGTTGTATTGATGGCTCTCTGTTCCTCTCTCCGAGTTCCCTGTTCAGAAGCTGAGCAGGGGCATGACATTGGACACTTGACGCTTTTAACATTGCCATGTCTCTATGAAGCTCAAGTTTGAAGCTTGTTTTAAAATTCTTCAGATGTGTTCTAGTTTTGCACCATTTTGAAGAAACTCTAATATGATAAGACCACTGACTGAAGTTAATGGACACTTTTATGGTCTGTTCCAGCTAGTGAGTGTAAATGTATGTTTTGACAGGCTGAGGTTTATCTTTGATCCAGAATGAGATCTTACAATAGGATGTTTTCTCCTGTTTGCATATCTGGTACACAATAGTGTGCAGACAAAGGGAGGACGTAGCATTGTGACAGCAGTTTAGCATCAGTGTTTTAACAAGACCTTTGAGCTCAATGTGAAAAGCACGCACCGATCTCCAGTGCTCAGCCTGAGGCCATGTCTCACGCGCCAATGAGTTGCTTTTCTATTCCAGGTTTGTTTTTTCATCTTGTCAGATGAGGATGATTCTGTTCTTTTGTGTAGATGATATACTATGAATCTGTGCGTCACAAATAGTCGTGTGGTTAAAAAAAACATTAATTTCAGCTGTCATTTGCTCTGGCAAAGACATTGACAGATCACTGGGTTTTCTGTTGCACGCATTTCTGTTATGCGTCTAATTTAAATGAGCAATTTTAAAAGAATTTCCATATCTTTTCAAAAATACTGGTCATCTTAAAGTTGGTATGTGGAAATTCATCCTATCCATTTTCTAAATAGATCTTATGGATCTTATTGTGAACTGTTCATCTATAGATTTTTTTTTATAAAGCTCAATTTTGGGCTCATATTTTTGATCCCATGAAAACGACTTCCATTTCTTTGTTGATGAAACCCTGGTCCTTTCTTACAATTTTGCAAGTTTGCATTCAGGTCTCCCTCCATCCAATTAACAGCTGATGGGTAGAACTGCCCTTATTTTTCTCAATAATCTGTTTCACACAGATGTTCGTCACAGAGTGTTACATTGTGACTTTACCGACTAGTTGACTAATTGCTTTAAACACTGTGTTTCTTAGACACATTATTTAAAGGGTTAATTTGATCCAAAAATGAAAATTCTGTCATAATTGACTCACCCTTGTAAGACTTTAAATCCAAACCCGTAAGACTTTCGTTCATCTTCGAAACACAAATAAAGATATTTTTAATAAAATCTGAGCCAGTTCTGCACTCTCCATTGACAGTCTACGCAACTACCACTTTGACGTTTCAAAACGTTCTTAAAGAGATCTTAAAACGAATCCATATGAATTGAGTGGTTTAGTCAAAGTTTGTTTATATTCACATAATAAACATTCAACCCACACATCAGTTAACCTGTTTAAATGCTTTGGATTTTATGGGCCAACATAACTGAGCCAACAAATAACAGTTGGACATTATTTTATCACTGCATTATTTGATCATAGCCTTGTGAAACACTTTTATATTAGTGTTGTTATCTTAATTGTTTTACTGGTATATTAATTCCCATGTTTGTTCAGGATGGGGCACTTATAATGCAGCTGTTTACTCCACCTTGACAATTTGTACTGTTAATATGCTAATCTTCTCCAAAACTTGAAAGCATTATTTTTATCCTGTCCTTACTTACTCCCTACTAAGCTCTGAAACAAACATTAAAGGATTAGTTCACTCCAGAATTAAAATTTCCTGATAATTTACTCACCCCCATGTCATCCAAGATGTTCATGTCTTTCTTTCTTAAGTCAAAAAGATATTAAGCTTTTTGAGGAAAACATTCCAGGATTTTTCCCAATAATGGACTTCAACGGGGACCAACGGGTTGAAGGTCTAAATCGCAGTTTCAATGCAGCTTCAAAGTAGGGATGCACCGAAATGAAAATTCTTGGCCGAAACCGAAAACCGAAAAAGAGGAAACCAAGGCCGAAAACCGAAACACCGAAAGAAATTATTCCAATTATTAGTACCATTGCATTTAATTATGGCTATGACTGTGTACAAACTTGACTAAATTTAAAAGAGTAAACATATGTTTTAATTTTTTTTAAACATTTAATTGCAGTCAACCTGTCATGTTAATCCCAGGGGCCAGATCTAACCCTGCGTTCATTCTCAAGGTGTTTAGTTAGTAGTACCATGGGATGAATGAAGCATTTGCATGAAGCAGGAAGGGACATAAATTTCAAAGAATAAATCAATTACAAATTATGCAAATATTTATTTAGCACATTGCAACAATGCACAGTATAAAATAAAATTCAAACTAAAATGTTTAACTTGACCCCACTCATGTGTACATTAAATAATAATCTACTGGCCTGCAGAAAGGTTTTAAAATTAAATGTTCTCTCATAAAAACAAAGCCGAACAAGGACTTCTCATCACACCAGCACCCAGTTTGCACGTCTAAATTAGTTGCTTACATTTTAAAAAATGAGCATACAATAGCATAAAAAGCCTTTTTTAATGAACAAAGGTCCAGGTTTAATACAAATGTACACGAAACTTAATGAAATATGTTTAGTGAAATTAGAAAATATTTAAGAGAGCGTTAATTTAGTTGTATACATACTTGTTCCCATATACATATTTTTTGTAATGTCACAAGTAATAATCTCAGGGTTTACTGGGTTTTACATAATTATTTTTGTATTGGTGGTGGTATACTAAAAAATAAACATTGTCACGTGTTTATCTTTCTTCTTCTCACCGATTCGTGATGGTTAGAGGACAGTTACTTGAGTCGTCCCCTGTCGTTTCAAAGAATAGTACAACGGCGAGCGCGTCAAGTATAAACGCCTCGACCGTTTGGAGAGGTGCGCGCGCTGTCTGTGGAGACTCGCGCTGCTGAGGCAGGCGAAAGTATAAACAAGGCTTCCGTCTCCTCGCGGGTTCAGATATACTGAAATACGTCCACACCGCAGACATGTTGCTTCAGACAAGCACGTGCAGGTCGCGGTTTCTGTTTGCGTCATCACAACATTTCGGCCGTATTGTTTCGGTGATAAAAGTCTTTCGGCCGAAAATTTTCGGTGGCCGAATATTCGGTGCATCCATACTTCAAAGAGCTCTACACGATCCCAGCCGAGGAATAAGGGTCTTATCTAGCGAATTGAAAAAAAAAAAATTATATAACCACAAATGCTCGTCTTGCATTAGCTCTGCAATGCGCGTTCATGACTTTACACATTATTTAGTCCAGTTGGTGGTCATCCGTGATGTAGGCGGAAGTACCGACCAAGTGTTTACTGTAGCGAAGTACTGTACTGAGTTTTTCGCCCTACCCTACCTTCTGCCTTCATCACACGTGACCTTTCCAACGTGATTGCGTAAT